GCAGCAGAACCCAATTTTTAATCAAGGAAATGTTGTCTCAAACATACACAAAAACAAATCGTACCTAACAGGAAAAACTAACTTGATCACAAAGTTCGCTGGTAGTTAACAAGTACTATCCAGGAAAATATACATATTGTTAAGAATCTTAGCAATCTGAAGAAAATGGAATCTATGCAATCGATAAGAGGATGACCATCTACACAACATTACTAAGTAATCGAGACAGAGTTCAGCTCTTTCCGAGTCAAGAGCAAGTAACCCGCTTATTGAACTCAGCGACTTTGAGAAACTATTACGACTTTTTCTCAACGTATTAATTTACAATTGTCATCGAACGGATAGAATTATTTTTGATAGAACTTTTGTAGGTGGATGACAAATGACAACAGATCGGAAATATGTGCATAATCAGAACAATCATAACAATTTTTCGAAGTTGTGCTAATAGGAAACTGGCGCTACGTAATCAGTTCTCTTCAGTTCAACTCACAAAGCGAAAGCTCTAGAACGAACGTATGCGTTTAAGAACGACTTGTTTCGATGATGGTTGAAACATAGGACGTTTAAGTGGCATCGAGTCCACAGGGTTTAAATGATGGCTCGAATTACCGTTGGTCTTAAAGTATAAAATTACTCATACTACCAACAAAGAAACAAATTTAATGCAAAGAATAGTGCAGCACAGGTTCAGTTAGTACAATGCAGATAGTCTCGTCGTTCAATACGTGCAAGTCCGACGTCACACTAGACCAACCCAGTCTTTCATGTCTTTTATCTCCCGGAGACAGGACATTGGTACCAGACCTGTCTCAAAAATTCTCTCCGGTCCACAAGACCGAGGAATGCTTTAGCATGGCAACCCAAGTTGGCTTCCGGATAGCAAGGATAGATTCAACCAACATTCAATAACATTGATAAAGAAGGCCAAGAATTCTCAGGCGGTAGCCGAACCCAGACGTGAATTTGAAGGCGACAGTGGACGATGGATGCAAGGTAATGCATCGAATGGGAAAAATGCTAAGATCCGTACAATGAATGGGAAGACAGGTCATGTGAAAAAATTCAGAAGTATAGCAAAAAGTTGATGAAGCCCATCAATTATTGATAATTTTTGGAACAAACCAATAAAAGACAAAAGGATTTGGTTTCATTACAGTGCTACAAGAAATGAAAACAGATGAACAAACCTCTTTGAAAGACGGCACTATCGCTTGTGAAGGATCGTCTAGGCCGATGTCATCGTCGGAATCAACTATTATGATACTGAAATATATATGTATACATGTATATATATGTATGTATATATACATATACATGTATACATGTATAGACACATGTACGTTCACATACGCGAACACACACGTAAATATATATATATATATATATGTATATATATATATATATAATATGTATATATACAAATACTGCCTTTTCTGAGCTACTAGTTTAAAAGTACGTGCAACACACCGGTTAATCTTCTTCTCCTCTTTGAATCCTAACTCGACTAACTCTTTACTGCCACTCCTTTCCAAGTTATTCAAATTGCCCTCAATGTCCAAAGCAAATGACACGGACAAGTTACTAAAGGAATGTTAATTTTGTTGAAAAACATTGTTTTTATTTATAAAATCGAGAATACCTTAAGAAAAAAAAAATACCATCGGCTTGCTTTCCTTCCAGTCCTCAACGCACTCGTTAATGATGTGATGCTGTCTTCCAGTTCTATGCTGACATGTTCTTGAAAAAGGTTCTTATCAATACATGGGTGCTGTTGTGATGATAGATGATCATCGCAATGACCCGTTGAAGATGATATATCCTCAGCAGCACTGTCGTCGCTTTTTTGGCTCTGATCCTGTTCTCAATTATTGTTATACTACAAACAATTAACAAAAAGAAATACGAAATACCAAACCTTTATTTCTTCAGCTCTGGCGCTGTCTGAGATGAACTCATCTGAACGAGATGGCTCGAAAAGTGTTTTCTCAACTAGCGCCAGCAAACCATGTGGATCGTTATCAAGATCCCAGGTCTCAAATTCATTGCTTGAAAAAGGATTTTGAGATTTCATCATACTTTTCCAAGTAAAAGCTCTAAAAGCTCTTTCTAAGTAATAAGTCTTACAAAATTCCCTTGAACTGCTGGTATAACCATCGATTCTCCTGTTCACCTTCGTAATCAACGGTAATTTCGCTCACAGTACGACCGCTACGTATATGATCATATACCTATGTAAAACGTAGTAATTAAAAATAATAACTCGAATTAGTAAACATTCCCCCACTAAATGCCGCTAGAGGTCCTAAAATAGCGAAAATTTGTTAAATCAGGCTTCAAAATCGGATATCGCAAGATAAAAAGTTCGAAACAACTTTCGAACACTCTAGATGGCATGGAAATACTGCTTCCTACAGAGTGAAATGAAAAAAGAAATTGAGTGAACAATCGATTAGTCAATGTCAAATTTTAGAAACTCGCAATAAAAACGATTTAATGTTTAATTGCTTTAATGGGATGGTCTAAACCAGGATTCATTGTGTCTTTCTAACTGTATTCAACCAATAACGACTACACCCGGTCCCCTTCTCGAACATTTTACGTAGGAACGCGGTTAGCAAAGTGGTATGAGTGCTGATTATGCACTAGGCTCTGGTCCGACCTAGACCTCTGTCAACTAAGTTCCTATCCCTCTGGTCAGGAAACAGGTGCTAAACTTGTTTGGAATCTGCTCGCTCCTTCCAGTGCACAAAAATCCGACGGCAGTAATTAAGACCTGAGAACACCCTTCCGCTGCTTTCCCACGATCAGAGGATAGACTCGACTAGCATTTGACAATATTCATAAGAAAGGTTAAGGTTCCTTAAGCATCAACCAAGCGCACACACAAGTCTAAAGACCTTAAAAGTATAGAAGCTCTCGACGCTGACCAATCCCTGAGGGATGCGCTTTTGACTTCACTAAGCATCGTTGGAGGTGCTGGAATGCATATCTGGTCTTTACAATCACTTGCGGTGGCCCTACCGATGTATCGAGCCATGGTGCTCTTCCCAGACAAGTCAGGTACCAATTTTCCAGCCCCGGAGGGATGGATGGTTTGGTGGGTCTGGTGCTCGGAGATCGATTCTATTCCCACTGCAAGGCACCTCCGACCACTGCGCTACCCGCGCCCTGCAAAGACCTTAACGGATGATGAGTGTCAGGCAACCAATCAAATGCAAGAAGTGTTCGCATCAACAAAATATGCAATGTTGAATTATGTGGAAAAAAGGGAAAGAAATATTTCACGCTGAAACGTAACAATGAACTTTATCGGGATAAAGCCTGTTTTAACCTTATTAATCACTTCATGTTACACAAGCTTTAAGGACGTGCGTGGTGCAGTGGCCAGGGGCGCCCTGCCGCGCACACATGGGATCTATCTCCATGCCCGTGGCTCATCAGGCCTTCCGTCTCTCCGGGGTCGGCAAATTGGTACCAGACTTATCTGGGAGGATAGCAGCACTGGCTCGATACAGCCGTAGGCCACTAAAGGCCAGATATGCATTCAATCACCTCCAACGATGCTTCATGAAGTGGAATGCATGGCGCTCCCTCAGGAATTGATCAAAACCAAGAGCTTTATCTTTTTATCCTTTTTACACAAACTTTGATTTTGTAGAGATCTACTTTGGTATTTTATCGTACCAATTCTATAAATAATCCCACAAACACAAATTCTATTTTTAATTCCGATACACAGGATACCAGCAAACACCGTCTTTGTCTAACACCGCCAAATTTTTGGATCTTCCTCAAAGTTTTGCATATAGGCAATTCTACGCTTTTTGACGAGCTATTTTTACGAGGCATAAACAAGTAGCAGCAACCTAACTTCAAGCAGGTCTAGTCCCTGTGCCTTTCACAAAACTTTTCATTGCCTATACTGAATTTTCCATGGATGATGAACACTTTAACTCGTAAGGAAAAGTCGCTTAAAAAACTAGGTCCTTGTCTCTTTCAAGAACTTCAGAAGTTCCGACTTTAGGCGTAATGAAGAAGCGAAGTAATTGTTTCTATTCACACCGGCAATGAAATATGAACGCGCCGTTTTCTTGTTCAGCAATCGCGAGGGTTTTAAACAGCATACATTTAGTTCCATAGAGAAACACAATACAATACAACACCAGCTGACGTTTCGATAGTATCCCCTTCTTCAGAGCCTGGAAGGGTACACTGATACACAATCTACTAGGCCAAACGCTTCAATAACACTTACAAAAGGACAAAAAACTCTATGGTAATTATATGATCAACAGCTTCTCAAAAAACTCACCGCTTTTTACGTGACTTCCAATGAGGAAGTTTAGAACAACAGATTATAATCGCATATGGTTGATGACTGCACCATTCCACATCAGAAATTGATGTGAACAAACAGGATCAGGTCACGTATGAGTATTCATCCCTGCTATTTATTGTAGGGTTTTTAGCATTTGTCCAAAAAGCCATAAGAAGTTTTCGCGCGTTTTAGTCTCCTGTACAAGGATATTGACAACCATATGCGACTATAATCAGCTATTCTAATCTTCTTCATTGGAAGTCACGTAAAAAGCGGTGAGATTTTCGAGAAGCTGTTGATCATGTAATTACTATAGTTTTTCGTCTTTTTGTGAGTGTTATTGAAGCGTTTGGCCTAGTAGATTGTATATCAGTATACCCTTCCAAGCTCTGAAGAAGGCAATACTGCCGAAACGTCAGCTAGTGTTGTACTGTATTGTGTTTCTCTATGGAAGTAAATGTATACTGTTTAAAAACCTCGTGATTGAGGAACAAGAAAACGAAGCGAAATAATTTTTGAAAAGAGTAACCGTTGCAGAACTTAACCGAAACGAAAAAACATTGCTGAAACTTTTGCAAAATAAACATTTGAAAGAAAATATTGCTGACGAGAAGCACACTTTTCCAGAGGCTAAACACAACCATAGACAAAAAAACAAAAAAAACCTCATTGACTCGGTCTACAACGTCAGTTGGCACACCCATTTTTGCTGCCACATATGCCGCAAACGTTGAATCAACCATTCCTTCAACAAGTCGGAACTGAAAGTCAAGTTCGGCTCCTCGACGTAGGACTTCCATTGTCTGAAAAATTCTAGCGACTGAGTATGCTCCACGTTTTCGAAAGAAGAACTAACGTGGTACGACAGAATGTCACAGTGATCCGAGATCAGTTTCGAGAGAGCATGAAAATGCGATGCGATGAAGACATGTGGACAGCCAGATTGTCCCTTCGCCGCCCAGTAGGATAAAGATGAAGCTAACAGAGAAAGACCGACTTCCTGGCAAGATAAAAAGAATCGGTAGTTTCCACCTACTTCGATTTTCATTGCAAGGCTTAAATGTTTTAACGAAAAAAAAACTATGGTTAAAGTGTATGGAGCATGTATGACACCCAATATAGTCTACAACAAAGAAGTAACCCCTAGAAAATTACTTTCTAGTCAGTCTTCAGTAACTCCTCAAGATTGACTAGAAAGCATAATTCGCTTATTAGAGAAGTACTATAGATCAAGCAGGAGATCTTCTCCCAAAGAAAAAAAGGAAAAGACGAACTCAACTCACTGTTAAGGTACCCTTGCCGAATTCATCTATTATAATTAGAGAACGTTCATTTCCACGACGCAAAGAAACAGAAATCTTCAAAAATCAAATAGAAGTAAGTTAACTAAGTTAATTAGTAAGCTGATTGGATTGCTATTGGTCGTACCTGATCCAAATCCTTCGCAAATGTACTCATTCCGTCAAGTACTGAATCTGTCGTGTATATCCTCGACATAATGCGATTAACTGTTCCCATATGAGCTACTTCTGCAGGTACAAAACTCCCAATATGCGCTAGATAAACTAACAATCCGACCTGAAAAGAAAGGTGGTCTATGTAGACGTCGGACTTGGAAAACTGAAGATTTTATTGCATACCACACTAAAAAAAAACAACCTGTTTCAAATAAACACTTTTTCCGCATGCATTTGGACCTGTGAGCACTTTAATTCTCGAGTAGTTACAACCAGAGCTCAAAATAAACTTAAAGATTATCACAATAATAACAGTTGAGCAAGCAACCAGACTACATCAGTCTTACCTAACTGGATTCGTTACAAATTTTTCTGTGCTCATTTGTAACAAAGGATGTGCTACACGAGAAGCATCAATTATGGGCTCTTCAATAAATTTTGGACGGTTCCACATGAAATAAGATGAAATACGATAACAGAACATATGAACTCGTACTAATATTTGAAGAATCATCCAACCCATGCTGTCTGGCGACCAACGCGAGTGAAATTACAGCATCTAACAAAGCATCGGCTCGCTGAACACCCAGCAGTATTGAAGAACGCGACAATAGCAAAGAAGACATCCTAAAAAAAATCACTTGAATGCATGTCTCAAACTATGTTAAATATCATGTTCTTTGGGTTGTTCATTCCAATGGTGATTATGTGAGGCGCAAAACTGAAAAACTGTGGATTTACAAATTTGTCGTTTTCTTTTTCAGCAATGGTGAGTTTGTTACAGTATACGTTTACTTCCATACAAAATCTCATGCGAGACAACAGTAGCTGACGTTTCGCCAGCATCGCCTTCTTCAGAGTCTGGAAGGGTATACTGATATGCAGTTCACTGTGCTAAACCCTACAATAACAGAGAAAGAAAGACGAAAAACTATATGATAATCGAATGGTTTTTCGAGAAGTTGTTGGTCATGTGATTACCATACAGACTTGCATCTTTATGTGTGTGTGTGTGTTATTGAAGGGCTTGACACGGCAAATTGCATATCAGTATAACCTTCCAGGCTCTGAAGAAGTCGATACTATCGAAACGTCAGCTACTGTTGTATTGTATGTTTTCGTATGTAAGTAAACCTATGCCGTTCAACAAGCTCGCGATTGCTGAGAAAGAAAACGGTGCATTTATGGTCCAATGCCGAAGTTAATAGAAAGATGATCCTTGGAACTGTTGATTTATTCACAACAAGGACAGCTCATTAACTGAGATCCTACCTAATAGTGATTGTGGTTTCTCTATCGATTATTTTCATTTTCACGTCTCCCAATTCCTCATCGAGCTCCCTCATTCGTTCACTTTTCACATTCATTGTGGTTTCCGTTGTGAAGATCACTTCGAGGCTAATTAAAAAAACAACAATAACAAGCAAAACCGTAAATTTCCCAAAGTTGCTTGCAAACATTTAGCAGGGCCCCTGAACTATGCAATAATGTCTCAGCATGAAAGAAATTGTTAGTGGTTACGTTAATGAGACCCAAAAAAATCTAAATTGTATGCAGAATAGAAATTCTCAAAGAACATACTCCTCGAACTCGTCCACTGGGAAATCAAGAGGCAGTGCTACTAAGTAACCTATCAACGGCACATAAGCTACTGAACAAGTTTCGGCTCTAAGTCGACGACATTCCTCTTGTGCGATGCGGGTCAGAAATCCGGGCAGCTGGCGATAAAGTTGTTTAGCTGGAACAGCAACACTGACAAGACTGAACTAAATAAAGATCAGCGTGGAAAATTAAGATAGTGAAAGATAGTGAGCAATTATGTATACCTTAATAAGGCAATAATATACTTGACTACAACCGTTTAATTACTTGATACTTGAATGGCCCGTCTTCACTGGTTGTGCGGGCCCCACTATAACCTCCAGTTTTCGGAGATTCGCTGGTTAAGCCGTTCTGGTCCCCTGGAATCCCAAGGTCAACCGCCCAAAGCCTGCCTCAGGTCTTCACCACGACAGGTAGTCGCAGTTCTTGTGATCATAGAGAGATTTACTACCATGCGACTTTGATACCAAGACGGTGGAGGATCCTGGTATTGGTTTACTCTTGGCTAGGCTTCCTGATGGAAATGCCGGACTACTTCTCAGCTTGGGAGACCCTGCCAAGCTGGGGGAAGGATCCCCAAGCTTCGCAGTCCGACATCGAGGAACACCTCCCAGCCACGATGAAGCGGTAAACCGTTGCGAGGAACCGTTTAATTAATTTCAAGAATCTTCCCATTGAAAACTGTCTAGTTACTACTCTACCTGATCCGCTCCAAAAAGGCAAATAAGTGGTTAGACATGAACCAAAAGTGACCTAACATCTTGTTGACTAGAAAGTACAATGTGTAACTTATGTTCTCCTTTAGGGTAAACTTGACCCGAAGTCTACTCAGGCAAAGACCAAAGAGCTACACATAGATATCCCATTGCTGAAAGTATGAATAAAAGGTTACATAAGAAAGAAGTGATGTTCAAAACACACAGAGAGCGAAGGAGGCGCATAAAACAATTATGGTGCCTGAAAAGGAGTAATTGAGAATTCACTGGCTCGCATTAAAATTACTCGATGATTGCAGAAAATATGTATAACACATGTCTAATATAAAAGTGGTTTTAATGAGGCAAACCTCTGTCCAGTTCGGGATCAACTCCTATCTTCATCACTGGCCGATTTTCCACATATGATTCGTCAAAATCGATCTGAACAAAAAAAGAAATTATAGCAACCACAATACCGCTATTACGTATAATGATTACCATTGTACTCAGCACAACCATGGTCTCGGCCAGAACGTCTCCAAAATTTCTAATGTCATTGTGAAGCAATGTTAAAGGTGAACTCAGGGTTTCCAGATATCGACCAATTGTGACCGAACTTGAGATTGTCTGAATTATGGAATTTTTGCTACGCTGTATATGCTACCGAGGACAGATGAGAGCTGTGATCGATTGACTTGCAAGGTTTGTCATTCTCAAAGTGAGGTACGCTCTGCTAAAAGAAAAGTTAGAAACATATAAAGACGAAATGAAATCTACGTGATTAAAACTAAATAAGAGAAAATCATGACTTTCTACAGCTGGCAAAATGTATGTTTCGTAGGATGCGATGATGTCCCTAATCTACTGCTTTTGTTTGCGGGTGCCCTACTCATGTTTGGCAGTTAAAAACTTAGATTTTCTTTCAATTCTTCTGAAAAATTAATTCTAAGCAGTTCTGAAATTGGAAAATAAGATATACACACTTAAGGCGACAGAGCAAAAGTTTTTGTAGATGTAAAACACCTTGAACGTGGAGGCGAAAAACTATTCATTGTTATCAAGAAACCAAAATCAGGTTGTCTTTGGGTGTTAATTCAAGTGCCTTCTAACACACCTTGAAAAGATTCTCCCAATGTCTCACTTTCGCAGTCCCGGATCGCAGACGATCCAAAACATACTAAACATAAAAGAGTGAGACAAAGATGGGTTAAAAGTAGAGAAAATCACCTTCACACTCGTTACAGATCCAAGTAAACTGCGAATATTCCTCGTTATTTCCAGATTGCAATCCTGTAACATTCAAATAAGCTAGTTATATTTTAAGAATGTAGCTTGTAGATGTCGCACAGTGTCCTCTCCTAATTTACTAAGGATAGAGGAATTTCCTTTTGTACTTCCAGGACACACACAAGTAGCGCGTCTCAAAATAAATAAAACCCGTTCGTATCATCAATAGCACCTAATCAGTCAGAATTTTAATGCTATTCGTTCAATAGATCCATAACGCCCCATATGGACACCGTAGTGACCACAGCGGCTTGGGCCAAACGACCGTATGTACATTACAGTATCCGTATTCAGCTCATTGGGATCCAAAGTTTTTTTTACTTCTTTTATATTATATGGTCCGTCTTCACGTCTACTATGCGAATCTTAGCACTTGCCACATTCAATTCGTTTTCTCGCACACACTGTCCACGAAGATCTTGCAACTTTTTACGTGTGGGTTCGGTTGCTGCTTGAGGATTTTCATTCTACTTTGAATGTCGCAAAATGCTGGTCGAGCAATTCTCCCTGGAGTCCTGAGATAGCCGAGCTGGAGCGTTCCCGGTTGGATTGCAAAGAGTGATCCTTTCTCCCCAGAAAAGCCCGGCACCAATTACCCGACCCTGGAAGGATGAGAAACTTGGTTGACCCGGAGCGGAATCGAACTAGCACCATGCTCGTGATGACGGACATCACTACCACTGTGCTATTCGCTCCTCGAGTTTTCTTTTACTGCAGTGTAAATATCAACTCGCTAATTAATCGAAAACAGATCGAAATATGAGGGGTGAGACCAGAGAAACTATTCTGTACACTTAATGATTTACAAAAAAACCTCTTTCCGAAGTATATTGACCGGGAATATGGCCGAGACGAAGCAATAAATGAGATTCTCATGTGCTTTAACTGTCATGAACTCTAAGGCAGTTTTTTGATAGCTGTTAGTCCACATCGCACTTCTTCAGTTTCATTTCATTACCACAGGTTATATTTCATAGGCTTTTATACCATGATTTCGCAAAATAACATGGCTTACAGAGATGAGAAACAATATAGATACCATTACAATAAACATCACCTGCATCACTGGCCGCCCTGTTGATCGTCATATGACTCGAATGGGCGCCAGTAACCTATCCATTCCTCCTTGTCGCGTTCAAGAGAAGTCCAGTAGTTTTGTCAACTCTAAAGACTCGATGAACATCATATTCTTTTTCTAGTTGTCGTGAAAAAGTCTGACCAAAAAGTCGGTCGTTTTCCCGCACTAAGTTTGACATCTCGCGGAATCCAATCAGTAACAGCTCTCGTTGGTCGGATGCCGATCACACACATTACGTTTCTAGTTCGTCTTATTTTCGACAATTTGGTATAGATTTGGCAGCGAACGCTTTGATTTTTGATCGCTGACGCAGATCGGAGCTTCCGATCACTGCCTACATTTGCGTGACTGCGCGTTCTGTAATGCTGAGTGACTTTTCATTCTCTTTTGCAGCAAACAGTTTCCTGGTGCATACGTTAAGGTATGGAGAACCGAGGAATCAGAATTCTCGATATTCTTGAAAACTCCTCAAGCCGTTCGTCTTCTCCTGCCCAACTCTGGAGCTAAGTCGTTCATAACGTTAATTTCCTGGTCTAGACTGACGTAGCTGGAAAATTCGTAAACATTCGTGGCGTCGAACGTGAATGGCGTGTACGAAACCAATCCATGTCTTATAAACATGGCTTTTTTGCGATTTAGTCGAAGACCAATCTTTCGACTTGCGTTATCAGAGTCCGCAAGCAATCATTCACCCTGATTAGTGCTTTGTGTTGTAAGAACGGTGTCGTTAGCAAAGCGAAGATGGTGTAATTGATGGTCATCGATCTTCACTCCCATGCTGTTCCATTC